TGACTTGTGAACTTCAACTCCCAGAATTCCTCAGCCAGGCATGTGTGAATTCTGGGAGTTGAAGTCCACAAGTCATCAAAGGGCCACGTTGGAAGAGCCCTGCTTTAAGACCACAGAGTATGTTGCACGGACCCTTAGCAAGGTCAGATCCATGAGCCCAACTGGCATTTCATTGGCACCTGATGCATTTTAACTTTAACCTTTATTTAGTGCCTATGCAAGTCACATTGTGGTCTTGCGCGATCTCAGCTCATGCTTAAAATTATGGTTTCATCTACGGCGAGACGCCTGAAGCGGTTTCACGCAAAAGCAAATTAAACATACGTGCGAATCGATTCTTCTGAAGTGGCAAGCTGCGATCTCAAGCATTTTGAGCCTGGCCAGAACTTGCGCAGCACGATTACCATCTCTGACAGATGACCTTCTCCAGGTGGGGAAAAGGGGCCGGGGGCTCTTCCAGACCTCCTTCTCTTCTTTGCAGGCTTCTACACAGCCTGGCTGATCCCAGCCGCAGCCATTGGCAGCTTTGTGTTCCTCGCCGGCCTCTTCGTCCTGGACACCAACGTGCCAGCGTGAGTGTGGAAGGACGCTGGTGTGTGTGGGGGGAAACATGGCTGCCAGGAATGGACATCCGAGAGTCACATCTTTCTCCTGCGAGTTGTTTACTTCCTTGTCCGAAATGAGCACTTGTTTACCAAATTTATGGAGCACCATTTCGCTTGGGGAAAATAGCTGTCAATGAGGCTCTTCCTAGATCAGGGGTAGGCCATCTTGGCTCTTTTACGACTCGTGGACTTCAACTCCCAGAATTCCTGAGCCAACATGGCTCAGCTTGGAAACCTCTCCCTTTCCCCTCAGCATGGCTGGCTCAGGAATTCTGGGAGTTGAAGTCCACGAGTCATAAAAGAGCCAAGGTTGCCTACCCCTGGCCTAGTCTGTGCAGCCATTAGGTCTACAATAAGGCTCATTTAGAGCAGGGGTCTTCAAACATGGCCCCCTTATGACTCATGGACTTCAACTCCCAGAATTCCTGAGCCAGCCATGCTGAGGGGAAAGGGAGAGGTTTCCAAGCTGAGCCAGGCTGGCTCAGGAATTCTGGGAGTTGAAGTCCACGTGTCATAAAAGAGCCAAGGTTGCCTACCCCTGTCCTAGAGGATATAGGGCCCATGCCTGAAGCCTGCCCCTGCACATGGCACAGTCCTTTCATGCCCAATGGGCATCTCTGCCTCTGAGGTAGGAAAAAGACCTCCAAGGTCCCTTCCATCATCATCATCATCATCATCATCATCATCATCATTATTATTATGGGCACACTTACCGGTAGAAGAAAGATCTTGGCCCAATGCAAAACTCTTCCTGCATTTTCTAACTGACTTGGCCCAATCTACCGGGACACAGCCTCCAGGTTGAAGGGCAGTCTACCTCCGAGCACCAGAGCATCAATAGGGGCTGTTAGACTCCTCCTGGAGAGATCTCCTGGAGAGCAGAATCCTTTAAAAAAAAAGAAAAAGTTTTATTAGTTTTTATAGGGCTAGGGATAGAATGGGGTCAGAATTGGGATTAGGGTTTAGGTTAGGGTTGGGGTCAGGGTTGGGGGTTGGGGCTAGGGCAGTGATGGCGAACATTTTAGAGACCGAGTGCCCAAACTGCAACCCAAAACCCACTTATGCATCGTCAGGTGCCAGGTGGGCGTGGCCCATTAGGTGGGCGTGGCTGCGGTGGTAACGGCAGACTGGGTGGGACTAAAAAGTTCAATCAGTCAATTCCAACTTGGCGAGATCTTTTTTTTCCCCGCGAGAAGTTAAAGTTGATTGATTGATTGAACCTTTTATTTATTTTTTTTGCACACGGCGGTGGAGGCCTAAAGCGGAAAGATTTTATAAAACCCAGCTGAAGGCCTAGGACTGGGGCGACGGTGCGTGTGCCCACAGAGAGGGCTCTGAGTGCCGCCTCTGGCACCCGTGCCATAGGTTCCCCACCACTGGCCTAGGGTTTCCCCAAGTAACATTTACAATATTTAGCAAACAGTATATTGTCTGGGTACATATATTTAAATAATAGATATAGCAATAGATAACAGTAATAGATACGGTTAATTATCATAAGCAGTATTAATTAATCACTCCGTAGCATTGGGGGGGACGAGGCTCCAGCACTCTGCAAAAGCCTTTTCCTCCCAAGGTTTCTCCCACTTCTCTTCCCCCCCCCTTTTCCAGGAAAGAGGTCTGCAAGAGTGGGGGAGACTTCCTCATGTGCCCTCTGTGCGACACTTGTGGCAACTGGAACCTCTCCGAGATCTGCCCCATGGCAAAGGCAAGGGGGCTTCTTTCACCTTCCGGGGAGGGGCCATCACTGAGGGGGAACACGGCTTCCTTGTCACCTGACTAATTGGGGGGGCAGGGGAGAGATTTTCCTTAAGGAGAGCAAGGGAGAAGATCTGAGATCCATTACATTTAAAATATTGATGGAAAATTTAAAATTGAGAAAAATGTATTAAGCCGTTGACTGTCCAAAAGATGGAATGTTAAATTCATTAAGCTATGTGTAAACTAAAGATTATTGATGAACGCTAGAAAGCTATTTTCTGTTTGATTGTATAGAACAGGGGTAGTCAACCTTGGCTCTTTTATGACTCGTGGACTTCAACTCCCAGAATTCCTGAGCCAGCTAAGCTGGCTCAGGAATTCTGGGAAATGAAGTCCACGGGTCATAAAAGAGCCAAGGTTGACTACCCCTGGTATAGAATAAGAATTGTGTTGGTTTGAATATGAGACACTATATATTAAGGGGGAAAGAGAGGGAATTAGTTGTCGTAATACTGTGAGATTTGTATTGATGACATTTAAATGGAACGGAATTATTGTACTCAGCTGCCACGTTGCTTTTCAAATATGCAAATGTAATATTAGAACATTAATAAAAAAATTAGAAAAAAAAGAAGATCTGAGATCCATTGGTTCCCGAGACGGACACGCAGCAGCCATTTTAAGTCCCACCTTGGTGCAGTTGCAGAGGGCACAGGCGATCCGGATCCTCCATAAAATGGAAACAATTATCCAACTATATCAGCAGCTTATTTTTTTTCCCCCATTCCTCATTAATTTGCTCAGTATCCCACAGGACCACAGCTCTATTCTAGGGAAGCACTGGAACGAGGGGGCAAACCCCCTTCCAGTATCCAAAGCCCCAAGCCCAGAATTATTCACTCTTAGGAATGAGATGCTTTTGGGTGAATCCTGAGATTGTGGTGAAAAGCCAGGATAGAGACTCTCCCAGGTCAGGTTTGCTGGTCCCTCAGGAATGGGGTTGATAGCTGCTGGCAAATCCTCTAGTCTGGGAGAGGTTGTTTTTTTTCCAATTCTTGTTTCTCCATCTCCACAGCTTGGGTACCTCTTTGACCATCCGGGGACCGTTTTCTTCAGCATCTTCATGTCCTTCTGGGCTGTGACGTTCCTGGAGTATTGGAAGCGGAGAAACGCCACGTTGGCTCACCACTGGGATTGCATGGACTTCCAAGAAGAGGAGGCAAGTGTCCTTTTCCCGCTCCTCCCTTCCCGCTGCTCTCCCCACGGGGGAGGCCAAGCCAGCTGGCCCTCGTTCCTTCCTTCTGCCGCTGGGCAGGAAGGAGAGCCTCAGCAGACCCCCGACGGAAACCACTTGGAACCATCACACCAAACACAGACGAGGCGACGATGAATATCAGGACAATTCCAATTAAGTTTTCGCCTTTTATCTTTGGATGGCCAGCAGGCATTCCCGGGGCCGTTTACCAAAGACAGTAAGAGGTTGTCTCAACCAACGAAGCTGTAATTCTGCCCAGCTGAACGTTGCCTTACTGAAAGGCATCCAATCCTGTTACTGAGAACTCCGGTACAAGAGCAGAATAATGTGGGGAAGGGTACCGATCACAAATCAGCTCGTAACGAGACCAGGCGGGAGTCACCGCCCTCACGTAACTGGGAATAACTCCCATAGATAGAGGGAGCCTGTCTGATGTAGTGCTTAAGGCGCCACGTTGCAAGACCGGAAGTTCTAGTCCTGCCCTAGGTGTGATTTAGCAATCTTGGGCCAGTCACTCTCTCACAGCCCTAGGAAGCAGGCAAGGGCAAGCCACCTCCGAAGTCTTGCCAAGAAAACTGCAGGCAACCTTCCGGGCCCTTGCCAGGAGTCGGCCCCGAGCCGAAGGCACAAAATTCAAACCAACACGAAACCTCCCATTGAGTTCAACAAGGTCACTTCCTTGTTCGTTCCCACCCTGATTTATTTTTTTCCCCCTTTCCTCTCCCCCTTTCTCTTGCCTGCCCCTAGGAACGTCCTCGCCCGGAGTTTGCTGCTATGGCCCCTTGCCTGGAACAGAACCCCATCACAGGCCTGAAGGAGCCCTATTTCCCTAAGCACGACCGGCTATCACGCATTCTGACCGGGTCCATGGCTATCGTCATCATGGTGAGGCGCTATTTAGGTTTAGGTTTTAGGTTTTATTAAATTTATACCCTGCCCTTCTCCTGGTGGACTCAGGGCGGCTTACAGCAAGTTAAAAAACAGACAAACCATACAAAATACTAAGTTTGAAATACAATTAAAATGAAATATTGATTTTTTGCCGTTTCTTTTTAAAATTATGTTAAAAACCAAATTAAAATCAAATTAAAATCAAATTAAAATATCCCTTAGGCCAGTCCCGCTAGCTGGAATAGCCATGTCTTGAGGGCGCGGCGGAAGGAGGGGAGATCCGGAATGACCCGGATCTCTGGGGGTAATTCATTCCATAGGGAGGGGGCTCCATAGGGAGGGGGCTCCATAGGGAGGGGGCTCCAACAATTGCCGTGGGGAGGGGGGAGGAGAGAAGGAGATCCCCGTCCCCAATCCCTGATGCTCCTCTCGCATCTTGTTTCCTCCTCAGCTCTGCGTGGTGATGATCTTTTTGGTGTCGGTGATCATGTACCGGGGGATTGTCAGCACCGCCATGTACCACACTGGAAACAGAGTTCTGATGACACAGGTGAGGGCTGCCCTGTTGGCTCTACTTGGACTCCTCCGCCCTCAAGACTCCTTTGGGCCCTCCCCAGAGATGATGATGATGATGATGATGATGATAGTAGTAGTAGTAGTAGTAAAGTTGGAAGGGACCTTGGAGGTCATCTAGTCCAACCCCCTGCTCAGGCAGGAAACCCTATACCATTTCAGACAAATGGCTGTCCAGTCTCTTCTTAAAAACTTCCAGTGTTGGTGCATTCACCGCTTCTGGAGGCAGGCTGTTCCACTGGTTAATTGTCCTCACTGTCAGGAAGTTTCTCCTTAGTTCCAGGTTGCTTCTCTCCTTGATCAGTTTCCATCCGTTGCTTCTTGTCCTGCCGTCAAGTGCTTTGGAGAAGCTTGACTCCCTCTTCTTTGGGGCAGCCCCTGAGATATTGGAAGACTGCTATCATGTCCCCCCTCATCCTCCTCTTCATTAAACTAGACATACCCAATTCCAGCAGCCGTCCCTTATATGCTTTAGCCTCCAGTCCCCTAATCATCTTTGTTGCTCTTCTCTGTTCCATATCCTTTCTCCAGATTTAGGGTTTCACAGAGAACAGAATTATGGGCCGTTCCTCTTTCTGTCTGCACAGAAAAAATGTGGCAGGGAAGACAGAGCTGGATTTTATATTATCCACAGTCCGGTTCGCTAACACTCTAATTCAGGGGTCTTCAAACTTGGCCCTTTGATGACTTGTGGACTTCAACTCCCAGAAATCCTCAGCCAGGCACACGTGGAGTTGAAGTCCACAAGTCATCAAAGGGCCAAGATTGAAGACCCCTGTCTTAAATCTAACAAACAAAATGGAGGCTGGCTGAGGAATTCTGGGAGTTGAAGTCCACAAGTCATCAAAGGGCCAGGTTTGAAGACCCCTGTCTTAAATCTAACAAAGAAAATGGAGGCTGGCTGAGGAATTCTGGGAGTTGAAGTCCACAAGTGATCAAAGGGCCAGGTTTGAAGACCCCTGTCTTAAATCTAACAAACAAAATGGACGCTGGCTGAGGAATTCTGGGAGTTGAAGTCCACAAGTCATCAAAGGACCAGGTTTGAAGACCCCTGTCTTAAATCTAACAAACAAAATGGACGCTGGCTCAGGAATTCTGGGAGTTGAAGTCCACAAGTCATCAAAGGGCCAGATTTGAAGACCCCTGCTCTAATACAAGGCTCTCATAAGACAACAATAGCAGTAGTACAAAGATAAGCTTTCACCTGCCTTCTGCCCTTCCAGCTGGTGGTCCTAAACCCATCTAAGTTATGGTCATCTGAAATTACTGTCTGTGTAAATATTATCTTGAAAGCCTTTAGGTTCTCCATGCTTTTTGTTTTTATGCATCTTTACTGCAGTTCTAGCTGGGGGGTACCCTGAAAGTTCAAAAGACCAGGGCAAAATGCGCCCCCCTCTGGGAGGAAGGAAGAGACAATGGGGTAAAATGGGACCTCTTCCCCTCTGTTCCTGCAGGCAGGTAACATTGCGAATATCAGCAGCTCCATGGTGAACCTGGTGCTCATCCTTCTCATGAGCCAGGTCTACACCTCCTTGGCCGAGAAGCTTACCAGATGGGGTGAGTGGAAGACTCCCATCGTTTGACCAAAGGGTAGCCAATTAGCCCGGGAAGTTTCGCTTTTAAGAATACTCAAATATGTCATTTGGGAAATTGTGTGTGTGTGTGAGGGGGGGAAACACATTTCACAGAATTGGAACTTTTTTTACCGCCGATTATTGGGCTTTCTCGTTGCTGGAACCTATCAGAAAACCTCCGGGCCGATTCCTTCGGCATCTGTGATTGATCCGGCTCGTCCTCGTTTCACCCCTCTACTCCTCCTTGCAGAAATGCACCGGACTCAGACGCAGCACGAGGACGCCTTTACCTTCAAAGTTTTCATTTTCCAGTTTGTGAACTTCTACTCGTCTCCTTTCTACGTGGCGTTCTTCAAAGGCAGGTAGGGGACGCGGCGAAAAGCTTTCCGCTTGGAGGCAGGGAGGGAAGGAGGCTCCCTCCGAGAGGTTCTCGCAAAACGAGAGAGGTGCCAAACCAGACTCCAAGAAGCCTCTGAGTTGAGCTGGGCCAGTGATGGCGAACCTTTTAGAGACCGAGTGCCCAAACCGCAATCCAAACCCACTTATTTATCGCAAAGTGCCAATCAGCATTGTGGTGCCCTCGGAGGGGGGGCAGGGAGGCGCCTCTGAGTGCTACCTCTGGCGTGCAAAACCCAGGGGCGCAAAAAATGGACCACCGTGCTGCAAGACGTAAAAACGGCCGTTGCCGTGCCGTGGGGTGCAGATCCAAGGCGGTACACCGCGCAAGAACGGAGCAGGGCGAGTATCATGCAGGCACTAGCCCCGCTCTATTTGCAGTGCGTGCGTGCTCGTGGCCCCATGTGTGCATGCACGCATGTAAAATGCTTCCCCCTCCTTTTCTTCCAGTCCACCAATTGACAATGGTTGGTGACCTCTGCTTCACCACCTCTACTCGAGCTTGCTAGCTGGCCGCTTCGCCTTTGTGCTGGGCGGGGCTCCTGCTCCTGCTCCGGGCGATGGTGGCAGCCTGATGGACCTGCTGCTGCTGGCGGTGGCACGCGTGCCAACAGAGAGGGCTCTGAGTGCCACCTCTGGCACGCGTGCCATAGGTTTGCCACCACTGAGCTGGGCCTTCCTCTTGAAGAGAGACCTGTTTTCCTCCAATCTTATTAGCCAAATCTTGACTCTTTCCCTGTCGGAAGTCTGTGCCGGTCCAGAGTTGGGTTCATTAACACAAAACACACAGCTCTGGGCAAGAACTGGGCTTCCTATCCTCAGAGCTGGACCTGACTTTCCATCCTTGTCAATACCTTCCCTTTTTCCCAGCAGGTTTGTGGGCTACCCTGGCCGATACGGACAGCTCCTGGGCATGAGGAATGAAGATGTAAGTATAATGCCGCAGTGAGTCCTTGTGCCTTCTTTGAGGCCACTCCTCAAAGAATTGGGCAGAACCACTCCATGCGCATGCATTTTCTTTGGCTGTACCGTAACGGTTGTCCCTGATGTACAGAGATGACGTGCAAATGCCGCAGGTACACACATGTCCCCCCTTCTCATCCTGCAGTGCGGTCCTGGCGGGTGCCTGATCGAATTGGCCCAGCAGCTGTTCATCATCATGGTTGGGAAGCAGATTGTCAGCAACGTCCAGGAGTTCTTTGTTCCGTGAGTTGCCTTCTTGGGAAACGGCCGAGAGATGAGGTGGATTGGTCAAAGGAGTGCCAGGAATTGAGCGGCACTGCCCCAGCTGAGGGGGACAGCCAGACCGAAGCGTCCTGTTTCTTTCCCTCCAGCAAGCTGAAGGCTTGGCACCAGAAAAGGAAGCTGGCCAAGGTGCGAGGGGGGCAGATCTGCCAGGAGCCCAAACGGTGGGAGGAAGACTATGAACTGATTGAATGCGAAGGCCTGTTTGAGGAGTACCTGGAGATGGGTGAGCAGGAAGGGAGGAGTCAAGCTCCTTTGGGACACAGAGGCGCAAAAGGAGTTCAGGGGTCTAGATTCAGGCCATCACTTGGTCCAGTGAGACCTGGAGAGCCTTTCTACGAGTGGCTCTCCAAAGATCAAGAGCTACACTAATTGAGGGGCGGGCAGCAGACTTGTCCAGCCTCCCAACATCCAAAAGATAGCTTTCCAGTAAAGCGAGTCCAATTATATTGGATGTTCCACTTTCGTTTGGCTTAATATGTTTCGGATAACTGAAATCCCTCCAGTTCTTCTCCACCGTGAAAGTTTGGTCATCCAAACTTTAGCCTAGTATGACACGCGGAGGTAATAAAGGAAGAGTCGCCCAAAGGAACATCTGGTCAGTCTTGCAGACACGAGCCCTGTTCCGCCCGTCGTTCCGAGGATTGCGTAGGGTTCTGCAAAACAGTGACACTGAACGTGGCCCCTTCTTCCTTAGTGCTCCAGTTTGGTTTCATCACCATTTTTGTGGCGGCTTTCCCGCTGGCCCCGCTCTTCGC